GGTAGGAAGACAAAGAGAGTGTTCCAGAAAAACTCCATGAGGATATTCTGGTTATCATTGCTCATCTTTCGCTGTGGTGCACTTTTCCCCGTTCTTTCAGGAACTGTGTGTGGTGCATACCATTCACAGTATATTAACTATAGATTGCTAGGATTGTAGCTGGATGAAGCATAATTAGGGAGATGATTACATACTGGGGGTAACTGTCAATGTTCCTGATAGTATGTTGCTGAGGAATTCCCACAAAGCACAAAGCTGTGTATCACATACTTGTTTTCACAAATCGATTATCTGCACAGAGCATCTATTGCCTTGCACTTAAGGTGACTGGAAAAGAGATGGAATTGCACCACTTTCTATGAAATCTGGGGAAAGGCCTGAGTACTTGGAATGTTTGTTCTCTATTTTTAATACCTTTGAAGTCTGGGTCCTATTTGACTTTATTTTATTGGAAAATCTCTGCAGTTTACTGCAAGGTTGCATGCTTTGATGCCTTTGTCATGGATGTGAATCTGAGCAGACAAGGCAAGCACCTTATGTCCTGGAGGTTTGTTCTCCGTTTCATTTCCGGCTGCAGGCAGCTGTGGGTCCTCGGGCTGGGCAGTGAGTTTGCACCCAGGCAGGCTGGGAGCAGGAGCAGGAGGCTGGTGGGGGTGCTGCTGGGGTGCCCCCCACTGCCGGCTGTTTTTGTGCTAGTGCTGGGCACGTGCAGGGACGCCGTTTCAGGAGGTGGCACTCCATGCCCTCTAACAAATGTCCTGGCACTGTGGAGCCCCCTCCATGCACCTCGAAGGGTGCCGGCCTTGCTGTGTCACTGCAGACACACCTGGGCTGCCTGGGACCTGGGGGCTGTTCATCCTGCCCAGCCTTATTCCCTACTCCAGGAAGCACAAGTACAACCCAGGCCCCAGGAACACCTCTGTGTGCTTCTCCTAAACTGGGGTTTGAGCTCTGTATAGGACCATCCTTTCTGCTTGCTCACATGCTACCTAAAAGAGCTTTGGCCTCTGCCTGCCAGTGCTGTCCAAGCAAGGCTGGGCATGGCTGGAGGCAGCGCCCTGGCCAGACACTCTCCTCGACAGGCCTTATAGGGATGAGGCCAACTTGGTTTTGGAAGGGAGAGAGTTTCCCATTGTAGAAGCAAGTCGTGCTGTGCTGCTTGCCCTTGGAGCCAGTGAACCAGCCTTGCTCTTTTTTAATTTGGTGTTACAGTGGGAGCTGATAAAATTGCTGATCTTGCTTGTGTGCTGGGAGAGTGGTCCGGGCAGGCCTTGCTCCGATAGGCAGAGGGACACAGAGATCTTGAAAGCAATCACAAAGCAGGCTGCAGACTCAAAAGACTTAGTGGGCTATTAAAGGTTTGAACTTAATAACAAGCTTGACTACTTCCCTACCAAAACACTGTTCCCCCTTCTGCTTTTTCCATCCTCATACCCAATTAGTGCTGCCACCTTTACACTTGCGAGCAATGGCCCCTGTCTTTCCCTCCCATGCCCTTCCTGCAGTGTATTCTCAGCTGACACGGACATCTCAGTATTTGATCATCCTGTGACCTGCCAGCACGTGGGAAGACTGGCCACTTAGTGTAAACTGTCCTTCAGCTGTCTGGCTGGTGAGTCAGTACAAGCATCTCCTCTGCTGCACAGAGCTTAGTTGCTTGAGGTTACACAGGATCCCTGAATTTCTTAATCTGTACAGTTATTTGCCGGGTCATCAGTCTGACTGTGTAATAGAAAACAACATTTTTGCAGCTGAAGTTCAGTAGTTCCCAGTTATGCATGCTCCTTGGGAACCAGAAAGAGTTGTATCTATTTAGCACTTTGCTGTCCCTGAAGTTTTCAATTGTTGTGATGCTTACAAGGTGCACATAGAGCTGATACAAGTATTTTTATAATTTCCTGCTAGAGCTATGATGTAGATACTTCATTGTCAAATAATATTTAACAACAGCTCTCATAATGGATTAAGTTATAATTCCCTGGCTTTCACAGAAAAGTGGTACAATTCCATTTCTTTTCCAGTCACCTTAAGTGCAAGGCAATAGACGATCCCCATTCACCTCGTTCCCCAAAGATGAGTGTCTGACCCTGGCTTGCTGGAATGTGATTAAATGAGGTATCTCTGATAAGTCTCTACATGTTTCTCTGGAAAGCAATTTCCACTTTGTTATATTACAGTAGCTGGTGACTCATGAAGAAAAGGAAAACATTTGTCCAGCAGGACATCATAAATTTCATGACAGACTTTAAATTTTCTTGAACAAAATGTTTAAAGTGGAGCAGACTGATCTTCTAAAAACACTCTGGTCTATCCTGAGTTCACAAGAAGCTGCTTCATCTCCTCCATTCAAAAGTGCATGAAATCCCTCCTGCAGAGGAAGCCTGGTGGAAGATGGAAGCAATAGAGGTGTTGGGAGGGTTCAAACCTGGTGAAAACTAACACCATTGGAAAGCCGGTATTATAAATAATTAGTCGGGATCGTTTTTGATAAGTTGATTGTGCCCCATAAAAGAGGGATTGTGGAACCCACCACAGCCCCAGCAACTTGGATGTAATCCAGTTTCTACAGTGGAGTGAGATTAAGTTAAATCACTTTTCCAAATAACCATCATTTGTTTGATTTGCTTTCATGCGGGCTTTTGGTTATGTCAGTAGTTGTCAGATGCAGACTGACGTTTGTGATGTCTCATGCCTTTCAACTTGCGAAAGTCACATAAACTTTGCTGCCCTCCAGTTAGAAGGAGCAATGGTCTTTTGAGAATGAATGAAATCCTTTAGCTCTCAGCCCTGAAATGTGATGCTTGGGTCGGCCTTCAGTGTTGCAGGAAGTCTGCATGATGATGTTTTATGCTGTAAACCTACCTTCTTCATATTAAAGGCATACTGAGAGTGGTGCTTCAGTAAAGAACGACTGAGAGCCTTTATGTACAGCTGCTTTCTGAATTTCTGAAGGAAACGTTTCTAAAAGACACAGGTTCATAAATGTACATCTCCTTGTGGTACTTGGAAGCACAGAAGTTGGTTGTTTTTGGTGCTAAAAGGTGAGCAGGGTTTGATTTTGAGAACTATAAGCTAAATATATTTATCAAATTTTAGTCTTGACATACATTTGAGCAGATGAATGTTTTCTCTGCATAAATTTACATGGTCCAAAGATTTGTCTTATTAAGGATGAATACTATGGCATCCCACAAGGTACAGGCAGTCAGGAAGAATGTGGCTACAATAGCAATAGAAAAGAAAGCAACATAAAAAATCTATTGAAATGAAAAGTTGATATCTTTTCACAAGTTAATCTCTATCCCCACAAAAGAGAAAAACTCTTCAGAAAAGAAAACAATATATATATATATACTTTTTTTTTTTTCCCAGCAACTGACTGTGCTTCCAGGCCTATGATCCCACGTGGGTCTTGGCACTTCTGAAATCCATCTGATGCCTGTGATGCTGATAATGTACAGGACATACACTGTAAAACTTTTAATTAAGAAAAATGTCCGAAATATGGCCAGTCTTCTTTTAGTTTAAAGAAAAAAAGAAAAAGAAAAAGAAAAAAAAAAGAAAAAGAAAGACCCAAAAAATGTTCCTGCAGAGAAGTACTGGAGATTTCAAAAAGGTATCAGCAAATTCATATTCTGAGGCTCTTGAAATATGGGAGTCGTAAGTACAGTTCTAATCCAAATGCTGGGGAACTTTACAGGGATGACTGCAACACATTTGTTTTGCCTTTAGTATTCTTGCACTGTAACCTGACTTTGGTTCAGGAAGAGGAAATCCATGGCCTTAATTGGAGCCAATCAGTGAAAGGTCATGGGGTAATACTTAACAGACAGGGATAGGGGAAAGGAAAAACACTTGCCTCAAAGACTCAGATGGATCCCCAAGACAGAACACACCTGGAAGAAGAATATACTTGAACCCCAAATGTACATATCAACTGAAAGCCATAAAATTAAATGGATTTTGTTTAGATTATTTGCTTCCTGTGTCTCCAGTGACCCATGCAGCAGTAACCTCAGTGTGGGGAGACATCAACCCGTATGACCTTTGCCTGATGTGTATAGTCACAATCAGTCTTTGGGTTTCCATGTGAAGTGAGGCAGCAAAGATGCTGTTGAGCTGGCATAAATGCAGTCTGGATTTGTTTTGTGGAGGTGAGAAGATCTGTGGTTGTGGCAGTAAAAACCTGAGGAATACATCAGGAGTCTGCAGGTGAATTGGTATGTGCTCCGCTGAACCATTCCTGGTAGTAGGGGATAACAGGGAGTAATTGATGTCTGATGGCCAGAGCAGCAAGGCTATGTGGCCTTTGAAGACTGTTCCCTTTGGAAGGTCACCTTTCCAAGAGAAGAATTCTTTTTTTTCTGGACAAATGCACAGGCCTCGCTTTGTGGGGAGCCAGTGTCCTGGTTGTGTCACCGTGACCCTGCTTTGTGTGCTCTTTCATGGCACTGCCTGATCTGACCTGATTCTTTCTACTGCTTTTTTTTTTCCCTCTCACTGCCTACTCCACTGGCACAGCCAGAAAGCCCTGGGAAAGGCCCATTTATGGATGTTTAACACGCAGCTTATGAATTCAGGCTCTTCCCTGAACATAGGTGTATCACAAGAGAATCTTGGAGCATGAAAATATGAAGAGCAAAATGAGTTGAAATGAGGATTGTTGCTTTTGCAGAATACTTTATTTAATTGTTATTATTATTCCAGGCAATAAGATCAGAGGGTTGTGTTTGCTATAGTAGGATTGGTATCTTCACGGCAAGTGGTAGTGGGGGCAGCTGGCATTGTAGACAAGACTGTGATGGCCTGAACTGTTAATAGGTCTTGCAGCCAGAAATGAAAGCAGGAAGTAGATTTCCTTTGGAACAGGAAAGTCCCTTTACAGTGGATGTTTCTCTCTACCATCCTTCCCTGGCCCCATGGTGTTAGGAGCACATCAGCTTTAAGCAGCTCATGTGCTGTGCACAGAGCCTGTGTTATTCAAGATACTCACTCCTGCTTCACAGACCAAGATTGTTCTTCAGGGTGGTGATCAGGGGATATCTGCCCTGCTTGCAGAAAGAGCCTGTGAAGTCATCCATATCAAGGGTCCAAACCATGGCACCTCCAAAATTGTTCTTCTTCAGCCAGTCAACCTGCTCAGTGCCAGGGGAGAAATCCCATTTAGTCCCAGGATCTGCTAATGCAGAAAGTCTCCTGCCTTACAATTAGCACAGCCACACCTCCCACCATACCTTGATCTTGAAGCTCTTGACGTCATCATAGCCAACCCATTCACTGCCCTTGTAGGCATAGGGCACGTCCTCGGAGGCATCCCAAGCCTGGGTGGCTCCGGAGTCCAGGAGTGTACAGATCTAGGAAAAAAGGACAGAGCGGAAGAAGTTAGCAAGTGTCCTACAAAAAAAGGGCAGTTGAGATATTCCATGGCTTAAAAATTCCTTGCTGGTAAGTTTGAGGAGTGTTTGTGTTGTTCTTGGTGACCCAGGTAAGAGGGAACATGTACCTCATAGTAAGCCAGTAATCCAGCCTCCCGTGTGTAAGGTCCAGCTGGCCCAGGTCCTGATGTTGGTGCCCCAACAGCGGTGTTAGATGGGTTTTGGAGAGTGAAACTATGTCCATAGGTTGGGAATCCAACAAGGAGCTTCCTAGCTGGAGCACCATTGTTCTTCCAATAGTTCATAGCATATTCCTGTAAAACAACCACCATAGTTCAAGTTTGTGCCAGGATTTGTAGGCAAGAGGGTGAGTTGTGTGGCAGAGGTTCCGAAAACACACTTACAACACTGAGTTGGGTGTTAGCCCCATTGTGCAGAGGGCTGTTCTCCCCAGTGCGTCCATCCCAGGCGCTATAGAAGTCGTAAGTCATCACATGGATGTAGTCCAAGTATCTGTGGAGAACAAAGCCCACATCTATCTCCTGGCCTTCTCAGTCACCTGGACCTGATTGTCCCTTTAATGCTGGATGTCTAGCCCTCCACATCCATCACCACATCTCCACATTCAGCAAATCTGGGCTCTTTGAGATATTTTTTGAGCTGGCCTTGTAAGTGCTGGATCCAATTCACTCCTCCTGAGGAGGAAGGAAGAGATGAAGACAGAGAGCGGCCTGCTCTGCTGCCCTGGGAACCAAAGGATGTTCCCTGTTGGCATGGAGTGGCTGGAGCCAGCCTGTCATTACACTTCCCTTCCTGAGGTGTCCCCTTGCACACCACACAAGCACCACTGTCTTAGCATTCTTGCCTTACACAAAGGAGCAGGGACTCCACATGCCACCGGGCTGGTTTCTGCCCAGTAGTGGCAGTTTCCCTTAACCACTCAAAAGGGACACCTCTTAAGTCAAAGAAATGGTACTCGAAAGTTGGCTACTCACTTCCCAAGCTCAGCAATCTCATAGCCAGCCTGAATGGTGGAAAGTCCTGCAGCAACAGCAGCGGTGACCATGAGACGGGGCTTGTTGGCCTGTCTGGCTTCCTGCTCAAAGGCTGCCACCATTTCCTGAGGGATGCCAAGAAACAGATCTCACCGTGGACAATTTGGGCTGAGGCTTCAAAGCCAGAGCAGTGCAGGGCAGAGGGGTTGACCAAATCCTTTTGTGTCAACTTACCTTAACCAGGACAGTGAAGAGAGTCTTGTCCTGGGCTGGACTGCCCCTGGCCCCAGGGTATTCCCAGTCAAGGTCCAGACCATCAAACTGGTGCTGACGCAGGAATCTGATGACAGATCTGATGAAGGTCTGGCGGTTCTGAGGTGTGGAAACCATTGTGGAGAACCTAGGGAGACAGAGCAGGACAGAGTTGGGGTTTGGTTGGTGGATCTTTCCCTCATTTCCCTCCCTTTCCAGGATGCAGTTGTGGGAAGGAGAGAGTTTTCACTTACTTCTCTGTCCCAAAATTCCATCCTCCAATGGCCAGGAGGGTCTTCAGATTTCTGTTCCTGTAAAGGAAGGGGTAGTAACATGTTTTAGTGTAAGCATCTGGTGTAGCTGCCTTTGTAAGAAGCGTCTGTTGGTGTGAAACCCAAAGAGCAAGTCCACAGCGCACCCAATCACCATGACCATCCTCAAAGCACAAGTGCTGGCAGCCTGCCTTCCCCATCCCTGCCCTTCCCATCACTATCAGCTGCTTCTCCCTGGCATCCCTTAGCCTTGGATTGTGCTTCCATTGTACAGAGAACATCTACTGAGTAATGGGAAAGGGCCCGAAAGGGAGAACAAGTGATATCCTTTGCTCTCGGTACGTACTGGTTCTTCAAGCCATTGAAGGATTTGTAAAGGGTCTCGTCATTCCATTCATAAGTTGTGATCTCATTGTTGTTCATCCCAGCAAAGGCGTAGATCAGGTGGTTGCACAGGAATGGGTCAATGTTGTCAGGCATGTATTTTCCCAGGCCAGGCCTGTATTGAGCCCAGTTGGTAAAGTAACATGACAGCACATAGGCAGTGCCTGCAGAGAAACAGAGGAGATGGACTGCACTGAGGACATACTAGTAACTTCAGGCAGAGTAGCATAATTAGATTTGATGAGAAGTGACTGGGCAGTGTTTCCCTGCCAGGTAAGGAGTTCTGAGAAAGTGAAGGAGGGTTGGCTATCCCTCTGGGAACTGGCTCTCCAAGGGAAAGAATGGATTTCTTTCCTTCCTCCTTTGGTTCAGGAGATGAGCCAGTCTGGGAGCCTCTTGCACCCTTAAACTCAAGAACTGGGGCCGTTCTGAGCAATGGGTCTTCCCCAAACTCAGTCTTTCTCCTTTGCTGCCACATCAAGAAGAGCAGAGGGAGAAGGGACCTCTGGTGAAGTGCCTGGGAGGTAGAAGGGTCTTTGTGTGTTTGCTGTGCTGCCTGTGTGACCTGGCAGTATGAGCTGATGCTGAAAAGGGTTTGGTAGAGTTGTTGGCTGGAAGCAAGTACATACCTATCTGGGCATTCAGCAGAAGGACCAGACCTTTAAAGAAAAAGTTTAAAATATAAAGGGTTTAATGTTTGTACTTAGAAATACAAAGTTCTTGTGCAGGACTGCACTGAATCAAATATAACATCATCTTAGCATCACTGCTTTCTATTAAAGCCATTCAAGAATCTGTGAATTCTCAAGGATGGCTCAGCTGATTGTTTATATGGAAGTGGGTAACATTTGTCAAATTATTGCAGGTAAAAACATAACAAGGAAACTAAGAAAGTGACTGTGCAGAATTTTGATTTTTAGATTTTTGCTCAAAAAGCACCATTGAATTTCCAACAGCTGGGAATTTGGTTAATTTTTAAAGCATAACATATCCACTCCTGCACTACTGAAATACGTAACTGTTCCTCCTGAAAAAAACTCCTATAGCTTTCCCTTTGACAGAAAGAGAGCGCAGCACTCCTAATCCCTAGAAATCCCCCTACATAACCACCCAGTATAACAGTGAAAGAGCCACAAATACTTGTCTAAAGGTAGAGGTCTAAGTTTGGAAGCAGGACTTACCGGTAAGTAAAGTAAGCTTGGCCATCTTTGACCAGGACTGATCTATTGCAGCTCGTCTCCCACTTTTATATGCTCCTCTTATTTCATGCCAGTCTTGGACCAACAAAGGTAGATAAACATTAAGAAATTAGGTAAAGAACAATATCACAAAACAATTATACCAGTACAATGGGCCTTAACTCTCCAGCTGGAGACACCACTATTATCAGGCTCTGCCACGTCATGGTGCTGCATGAGTCGTGGAAAAAGATTAGATGCCTTTACTTTTAGCAACATTTTTTTACAGTGACAGGCTGTGGGTCACCACCAATGATTACACAGTGATGGGTGGCTGAAGTGTTCACCTTGTGCTGTTGTTGTGTGTGCCCGGAGGTGGTAGGCACTGCCAAAACAAAGGTGGTTTACAAGGATTTTGTCCCCTTGGCTGGGGCAAGGGGACAAGCAGCGAGGTAGGACTGAGCAGAGCTCAGCTCACAGCAATGGGCTTTTGAGGGACACAAGGGCTGGGATTTCTTGCTGCTCTGTTGGGATCCAGGGGGCTTTGTGGTTCAAGCTGTCTGTTGCCCATGCCATAGGAGGTGCTGTGACCTCAGGAAAGCAGAGAGGGTTTCCTGGTGTCCCATGAGCAAAGGAAAATCAAGACAGCTTCCGCTGAGTTATGTCGCTAGTTGCCAAGATAATTTGCTTCAGGGAGAAGCATTATTTTGGAAGTCAAGCTCTACAAGAGAGAGCCCAGGGACTGAGCATCATGCAGGTTGCTTTTCTTACCACACTTTTCCCTCTTCTTTGTCAGCTGTTCCAGGAACTGAGAGACCTCTGTGTTGCCCAGTGTTCACATGTCTTGCTTTAGTGTTCTGTGAGGCTACATAGACAGGAATTACCTGAGTCTTTTATATTCCATATGAGATTGTCAGGCTTTTTTTTTTTTTTTTTCAAACAAACAAACAAAACAAATGTATCTGTTTTTGACTGAATGCTTTGCTTTGCTACTTAAAGGATGAAATCTTGTTCTTCAAAGCTTGTATTAATGGGAATTTTAAAAAGCACTTAGAGATGCTGTAAATGATATTTTTAACTCAGAAGATTCTGGCTGTGCACTTGAGGCTAATGCAAATGGTGCAACAGGACACAGCAGGTCCATGGCCAGTTGTTCTGCCCTGAGATGTTTCTTGACTCCTGGTAAGATGATGTGAAGGTGAATTTCCAGTAAGTCACCCAGACTTTGTTGAATGGAAGCCTGGAAAACACTCTGAGTGTTGCTCATATGCCTGCTGGCACTGAATCCACTGACCTGCCACTGAAGTTCATTAGACTTCCAGAGTCTGTGTATGGTGGGAAGAAGTAGAGCCAGTGATTAAGGAGGCTCATCAGAGTCAGGCATGGTGTTTGCACAGCCTTGCACCCCCCTCCTGTGAGGTGTGTCTGACAGCTGACTCTCATCAAACTCTAAAACCAGCTGTTTTCCCCAAAGCCCTTTTGCCATCTTGGCCTTCCTAACCCCAGTGGACAAGAGCCATTGCTTAGAGGGGTTGTTTTTATTCTCCCTGCCCGTGTTCTGGAGGTGACACAGATCACAGTGGGAGGCTGAACAGGTGAGAGATTTGAAGGTCAAAACAATGGCACTGTGTGTTTGGAGAGCCCTATCCTAACCCTTATCTGGATACAGAGGCATGGGCACGAGTCTCCTGGTACAGGGATATTGGAGCTGAGAGCAGATAGAGGGATTTGTGCTGATGGCAGCCTGACAGCAGCCAAGGTTCATGTCAGCAACACAGAGACAAGTATGAGGCAGATGTGCCCTTGGCCTGGTATATGCACAGGCGAGGTCCAGTTTTGGATTTCTATGTGGAGTGAGGCTGCAAAGATCATAGAATCATAGAATGGTTTGAGTTAGAAGGGGCTTTAAAGATCATCTAGTTCCAACCTCCCTGCATGGGCAGGGGAACCTTCCACTAGACCAGCTTGCTCAAGGCCTTGTCCAGCCTCCTTTGAACACTTCCAGGGATGGGGCTTCCACAGCCTCCCTGGGCAACCTGTTCCAGTGTCTCACCACGTTCCCAGGAAATAATTTCTTCCTAATGTCTAACCTAAATCTCCCCTCCTCCAGTTTTAATCCATTACCCCTTGTCCTCTCACTACAAGCCCTTTTGAAAAGTCCCTCTCCAGCTTTCCTGTAGGCCCCCTCCAGGTACTGGAAGGTGCTACAAAGTTTCCCTGGGGCCTTCTGCTTTCCAGACTGAACAATCCCGGCTCCCTCAGCCTGTCATAGGAGAGGTGCTGCAGCCCTCTGATCATCTTCATGGCCCTCCTCTGGACTTGCTCCAGGTGCTTCATATCCTTCTTGTGTTATGGGCTCCTGAATTGGACACAGTACTCCAGGTGGGGTCTCATGAGGCCTCTCTCGACCTGCTGGCTGCACTTCTTTTGATGCAGCCCAGCACACAGTTGGCTTTCTGGGCTGCCAGTGCATGTTATCAGCTCATGTTCAGCTTCTCACTCCCCATCACCCCCAAGTCCTTCTCTCTGGACTGTTTTCAATCCATTATCCACTCAGCCTGTATTTGTGCTTGGAATTGCCCTGACCCAGGTCACCACACAGTTTAGTGTTGTCATAAAACTTGAGGGGTAAAACAAGAAAGAAATACCATTTACACGTATTCCGTCAGATCTCCCAAGTTTTACACTGATGTTTGGACATCCAGATTATCCTTCTTTGGGTTCAGTTAATATTAATGGATGTAACTTTGAAAAACAGCTTCAGATTTTCAATATTTAGGTAGCTGACTACCCTTTTATTTCTCTGTATGACTGCATGTTGTTGTTCCCAAGTTTGGGGAATAGTTTAGAAGTTAACCCTATGATCTTTTGTTGTGAGTTTTCTACAAATCTTACTGTTGCTGCCACAGATGGTGAAAAATTAAGATAGTTTATAAGTTATTTTTCAGAGTCAAGGGAATTAACGAGGTATCGCTGGAAAGCCAGACTGGAACATGCTTAGTGCAAATGCTACACAACCAGGAACACCCATCTGTGAAATACCTGTGCTCTAGTAGGAGCAAAGCCACAATACTGCTTCCATATTATAGTGTGGAGTGTAACTATCCCTTAGGTACTCCTTTAAGTTGTGCAGGGAATAGATGGGTTCACAGGGCTTTAGCAAAAAAAGTGTATAGAAGTGGAAAAACTCAAAATATCTGGAAGGCGAAGTAATGACAACAGCAGCCTCAAGGGATATGTGAAGAGCTGGGAGTGCTTACCACTGAAAATTTGTGTGGACGTTTGCTTTTCTTGTGTTGGCCAGGCCTTATGGTTGTTATTTTGAGTAATTATTAGAAAAATACCACATGTTGATTGCTTAAATTCTTTGAGTTAATTCTCACCCAATGTAGTGAGATGGAGCTCTGAGTCTTTTCAGCAGTTGTGTATCATCATTTCATTGGCATGATTATGGGATACTGCATTTTAATGATCAATTGTGTAGCTGCAAGACCCTCATAGCCCCACAAAGGGATTCCCAGGAGGAAACACAGAATAAGCTGTTTGTTTAGTTGACTGCTTATGCAATGCAGAGAATAAGCTGGGAATCACAGACCAATGTTTTAGCAAACCTGCCCAAACCAGAGCAAGTAGCGGTCTGTGTGAGCTGCAAACGAGGAATGGGAGGAAATAACGACTGCCATGATTTGCAGGCAAGACATGGAAGACCAGATCAATCTCTCTTGCTCTGAAGGCATCAGAATCTGTGGTTTTGATCAGCAGCCCCATCCTCATGACAGATCCAAAGTCCAAAGCACATGCACACACTGTACCTGCAGTTCCTACATTGTGTTCCTTATAGTTGGTCATTTTTGGAGTCCAGGGGGGCAGGTTCCTAATATAATTGGCATGAGTGTGTCTTCACTTTGAAGAACATATATTTAGCACCTGACAGTGGTCTGAGGACAGTTCTTTCTCTTGAACTCATTACAGAGTCACGGAATCACAGAATCTTAGGGGTTGGAAGGGACCTCGAAAGATCATCTAGTCCAACCCCCCTGTCAGAGTAGGATCACCCAGAGCACATCACACAGGAATGTGTCCAGGTGGGTTTTGAAAGTCTCCAGTGAAGGAGACTCCACAACCTCTCTGGGCAGCCTGTTCCAGTGCTCTCTCACTCTCACAGGAAAGAAGTTTTTTCTGATGTTTATGTGGAACTTCCTATGTTCCAGTTTGCACCCATTGCCCTTTGTCCTGTTACTAGACATCACTGAACAAAGCCTGGCTCTGTCCTCCAGACACTCACCCTTAACATATTTGTAAACATTGATGAGGTCACCCCTCAGTCTCCTCTTCTCCAAGCTGAAGAGACCCAGCTCCCTCAGCCTTTCCTCATAAGGGAGATGTTCCACTCCCTTCATCATCTTTGGGGGTCTGCACTGGACTCTTTCAAGCAGTTCCCTGTCCTTCTTGAAATGAGGGGCCCAGAACTGGACACAATATTCCAGATGTGGCCTCACCAAGGCAGAATAGAGGGGGAGGAGAACCTCCCTTGACCTACTAACCACACCCTTTCTAATACACCCCAGGATGCCATTGGCCTTCTTGGCCACAAGGGCACATTGCTGGCTCATGGTCATCCTCCTGTCCACCAGGACCCCCAGGTCCCTTTCTCCTACACTGCTCTCCAGCAGGTCAGCCTCCAACCTGTATTGGTACACGGGGTTGTTCTTCCCCACATGCAAGACTCTGCATTTGCCCTTGTTGAATTTCAACAAGTTTCTCCCTGCTCAACTCTCTAGCCTGTCTAGGTCTCATTGAATGGCAGCTCAGCCTTCTGGGGTGTCAGCCACTCCTCGAGCTTGGTGTCATCAGCAAACTTGCCTTGGCAACTCCCTGGGTGGTCCTCTGTCAGTAACCTCAGATACCTGATTTTCCTTACTCAGGGCCATATACCTGTTCTGTAAGGGCACACATGAAGGTGAGGGAAGCCTGGAGTGGGTTCACCTGTTGCCTCGAGCAGGGACCTACTTCTAGTTCCTCTCTTCT